ACCGCTCTTAAGCGCGACGCGCGACGCAGTTGCTACAAGAATAATTGACGCAAAACCGCCCGGCAATCGTCTTCGCGGATGAACGTCCTGTTATGATTTATGCTTCGTCGGAAACACGCCAACGAATAACTCCGCAATGTTCGTGACGGTGTTACCGTCGCAATTTTACCGACCATTAGTTCCATGTGTGATACATTCCTTCACATTTTATCACTTTATTAACACTTCAGCTATCGCGCCAAAGAATTTATATGAATGATATCTGTATTTTTCGGAAAGTCACTAGCGTATGAATGACAACTTTATTTTCAATTTAATTTGCATTTGTCATTCGGAAAATGTCATTGTTGCAAGATTAAGAGACTAATAAAACTCTAAATGTCGTGATTTTTAAGAAAATACATAAATACAATTTGTACATAATTGTTATGATAGTTAGAATTTTTTTTAAACATTATATATTACAGATATACTATTACATAAGTGCTTCGTCGCTTAAATTTATGTACGGCATGTTTTACAAAACTTCTACAAATTCAAAATAAATTAAATATATGCTTCTGAATTGTCTGATAGAACATTAAATTAAATATTTTATTATATATTTTTATAATGAGATAATTCAAATGGAGAGAGAGAGAGAAAGAGAGAGAGATGGAAAATAGAATAATACAATAATTATAATAACATTAATATATATAATTATAACAACAATAATTATAGTAATAATAATATATATAATAAATAATAAAATAACAATATGGTCTGTCTTTTTACAGGGAACAGTCTAATAGAGACTCATCCAGACGCTCCCAAGGCAGCTGTCTACGGTAAGTTTGCAGCGGTTAATTTTTTTTTGTGCTGTTTGACTCATAAACCTGATTACCTAATAACAATAAAAGTGGCAAGCTTTTACGCTGCGCATTTGCGCAAACAAGAAAATCCGCTTTTACGGGCGAATCTTCTTAAAAAATTCATTATACTTATAAGTAGAAGGGTAAAATATTTCTTCAAAATTAATACTCTCTTATTAAATCGGAGTAATAATAAGAATATAAATGTAACAATTATATATACAGTAACAAACAACAAAATTAGAAAGATTATTTTTATTCATCGGAATCAGATTTATGGTTATCGGGTTTAAATTTAAATATAGAGATCATATTAAATTGGTTACGGTAGGCAGCAAAGATAACGTTAATTTGCACGTAAGAACGACGAATTTTATAATATAAAGATTAGTAATTGTGAGCGTAACAACAATACATCGACGGCTGTAATAAGCCAAGTTGCAGCAATAACCGGTATCAATAGTACCAATTAATATATCGTAACAATTCTACCTTTCAGTTGGTAAACAATACCGGCGACGCGAGGTGAAACTGTTGTGTTTTGCATGCACGACCGTCTAGTTACTGTGTATGAGTGCGACGCGAGTATTAATTCCAGAGAGCCGTAATTAATTCGTCGTTGATTGAAATGTGAAATTGCGATCCAATATCAGGAGCCTCTCGAAAACTCTCGAGTTGTTGTTTTACACAAGTTTAACAGGCAATTGAGACAAGCTCTTTGGAATGATCCGTTTTTCAAATTAAGTTGTCGTTTTAGAGTGAATATGTAAATTGTCAAGATGTCGAGGCATACTTTTTACTTGCGAATTCTGTAACAAATTTAAAGTATACTTCTCTACAAAAAAGGGATTTTTAACTTTGATAAGCGATTGAAAATGTGAAGTTTTATAAATCAAAGAATCAAATTTTAGAGATATACGAATAGGTGGTAAAATCTTTTCATGTAATTTCAAGTGGAGATTTTACTTTAGCAGATTTAGAGATTAGTTTAAAAGATATCGAATGAGAAAAAGTATCAAGGAATAAAAACTTGAAAGAGGACTAAAAATAACGAGGAGATGAATCTCTCGATATTTTCTTTAACGAAAAATCAACTTAAAATATATCAAAAAAAGCATAAATATTGTAAGTGATCGTAATAGTTAATGATCGGTTTAAATCTGTACAATCTTTTCTCGTCGTAATAGTCGATTGTGTGTGCGTTTCTGCGGCATTCCAAGGAGTGTTAAATCGGAAACTGCGAGAGCAGAATACGCAGCCGCTTGGAAAACCCTGCGTCTAATGACTCGTAAAATTGAATGTCGTACACGTCGGGCGGGAGAATAATAATTGATAATAACTACGGAATAACGAGGATGCCGCCTAGCCAACTGCCAATCATGGCTCGTCCTTTGTTGATAATTCTCGTAAATCTAGCAAAATTAAAGTTGTCAGTACTGAGATATTAGAGTCAATTCACCTAAGAATTCTAATAAAACTTTCTACTATTCGATTTGTTCTACTATTACGATTAAAAGTTGAGACAAAAGTTTTTGGTTATCGAATATTTTTATAATAAATAAATATTATCTACGCATGTATATAAATAAATCTATTTTAAAGATTTATTAAAAATAAGATTTACTAAAATTTATTTTAAAGATTTACTAAAAATATTTTTGAGAACAATAGTTTGTGTATCTATCAAAATTTAACTCGCGAGTAAAAGAATTGAATTTTCTATATTCACATTCATACAGCATCATTAATAACCATCGATTCTTAATTCAATTTTACTTTTACTCTGTACAAGAATGATGTACGTATAAAATATTTTCACATATTTTATTATGACTTCCATATCTATATATATACATATATTGGAAATAAGTTTAACGAGCGAGAGTTTTCACGAAGGGGTAGTCGAATAGCGGAAGAGTTAAAGAGGCCGCGGGGGATGAGATGTACACTGTGGATATTATCTACGCATGTATCTAAATAAATCTATTTTAAAGATTTATTAAAAATAAGATTTACTAAAATTTATTTTAAAGATTTACTAAAAATATTTTTGAGAACAATAGTTTGTGTATCTATCAAAATTTAACTCGCGAGTAAAAGAATTGAATTTTCTATATTCACATTCATACAGCATCATTAATAACCATCGATTCTTAATTCAATTTTACTTTTACTCTGTACAAGAATGATGTACGTATAAAATATTTTTACATATTTTATTATGACTTCCATATCTATATATATACATATATTGGAAATAAGTTTAACGAGCGAGAGTTTTCACGAAGGGGTAGTCGAATAGCGGAAGAGTTAAAGAGGCCGCGGGGGATGAGATGTACACTGTGGCAAAAGCAATGACCGGGGCTGACCTGAATCTACGGGTGGCGCGATGAAAAGGGGACGACGATAGACTTGCGATCTACGACATGAGAGTGAAAATACATAAAATAGGCCGCAGCAACCACTCTCTATATGTGTGCGTATACGTATGTCTCGTATCTCTATGAAGATCATAGCACTCGGTATCCGATCACGCGTCAGACATCAGAGAAACTGCAGTCTTTTTTATGGTCTTTGTTATTCAATATATATTTAAATGCATCGCGATATAAACGTATGAATTTACTTGTGAATTTGTAGAAGAATGCCATTTCTTATAATTTAAAATAAGTTTGTCATTTTTCTCTTCATGGAGGCTGGACCCATATTTAAAAAAAATAGAAATTACAGAATATATATAAATATTTACATGTTTTTCTGTGGGGATTACGTATTGTAAAGCTTTATAAAAAGTTTTGTGATATGCATTTTATAAATATAAATTTGGAACAATCCGGAAATAAGTTTTTTAATTTCGTTAGGAATAAATAGCTGGAAGAAATAATGTATCGAATAAAAGATAAACATACATATATTATAAATCTCACATAAATCCTGGGAAAACAAAGCACAGTTTGTTTTTAATTTAAGCTCAGGCGAGTCTCGGAGATAAAATGTAAAACGAGAGAAATCGCGTTAAAGATTCATATCTCTGCGGCAGATGATTATTAATATTTAATATCGTCCACCTGCGCCTCTACTTATCCTTCTATAGCGCAGTGGCGCAACTAACGTCATCTCGGAGATATTGTATAAGGAAGAGGAAGGGAATAAAATCGAAAAATAGGAAAAAGAAAGAGAAAGAAAATATCAATAATTCGTCGATGTAATCGAAATCGACGTCATCAAAGATAAAGGTTGAAGGATGCCACAAATATGTTATAATGTGAGGTGTATTTGAGCGTCAATTTACGTTATGGCTGATGTGACAAGCTTGCGATGTGGAAGCTTCAAAGATCTCAAAGACATCTCCGCCACTGCGGAGATTCCAGGGACCTGCGATAAATTAGTTACTTTCGAAATCGTGTCGTAATCCCTGGACACGCGAGAGACCTCAGAAAGAACAGTGCTTGTATAAGGCTTCCGGTGTACCGTTCCTTCGGGAATTCTCATGAACGTGAGAGCTTTTCATGTCGGCTGATCTAACACTTGCCGTTATACGTGCCGTTATACCGTTCCGATTTTTAAACAAAACATCGGGGTCTGAATCAAAGCATAGAGTGTATTACATCTCGGGTTTTTTTTTTATGAGATAGAAAGTAGAGAGATGAATAAGATTAAATCACAATTTATTAGAATATAAAACATAATAGTTAATAATAAAAAAATTTTTTAATTTTTTAGAAAATGTTTTATTCAACACGCAATACACACACATAGATTCCTTTTATAATACTGAAAGAAACAAGTACTAGCCTCAGGATTTATTAAGTTTTTAATCTTCTTTTAGTTTGACTAACAATAAATAAGACTTTCTGGTTCAGGTCGATTTGTTCTACTATTACGATTAAAAGTTGAGACAGAAGTTTTTGGTTATCGAATATTTTTATAATAAAAAAATATTATCTACGCATGTATATAAATAAATCTATTTTAAAGATTTATTAAAAATAAGATCACAATTTATTAGAATATAAAACATAATAGTTAATAATAAAAAAATTTTTTAATTTTTTAGAAAATGTTTTATTCAACACGCAATACACACACATAGATTCCTTTTATAATACTGAAAGAAACAAGTACTAGCCTCAGGATTTATTAAGTTTTTAATCTTCTTTTAGTTTGACTAACAATAAGTAAGACTTTCTGGTTCAGGTATGGTTGCAGAAAGGTAAAAGGTCTGGCCTGGTTGCATCCATAATAGATGATGATTCAACAAGAAATTAATGAGCTAGTTTTCGATAACCTTTTTTTTTTTTTTATTTTAATAATCTGATCACATTTGATATTTAAAATATTAAAGTTGTTTTAATTTTACGGCTGTAATTTGAAATATAACATGTTTTTTATTAAGTAATTCAAATGGATAATATTTAAAATTAAAATTATTTTTTATTTTTTAAAGGTTCTTTTATATATATTTGACATTCTATAATATTTGATTCTTTAATTTTAATTATTGATAACTAAAAGATAAATTAATAATTAAATTTCCAGCATTGCGTGGTTTACAATAATATATATATATGCAATATCGGTATAGAATTACTAGAGAAATTCGATATTCTCATTTTCTCTCTGAAACATACAAACATCAATATTATAAAATCATTTTTATAGCAATTATACATTTTCTCGATTGTTCCGGTTTTTCGAAACTTCGTATATGCTCGTGATGTTTTATCCAAATATTCTCATCGTTGTAAAGACGAGTACCGCTTCGTTAAGCGTGCGAATTAAAGCGGGGATCCAATGGATGGTTGGCTGAGTGTGTCCCTCCTATCTGCGGAATCGAGCAGTTTAGATCTACATTTCGTCGGAAATTTCCACCGCCGCGTAATAGCTTTTGGTAGTTCGAACGCCTACACAGAGGTAATTTGTTTCGGGTGATGAGGAAGAGGTAGAGAGCGCGGAGAGGGAGAGCCATTCGTTCC